AGGACTCTCCTCATCAGGGGCCCCTGAACTCTAATTCTCATGTTTTTAGCTCTGTGAAATTGCCAATACCTCTGCTCTGTTCCTTTGCTTCTTGGCTGCTGCTTTTACTTTTGGTATCACCAGTTATAATGAGATTTAAAGTGGCCCTGGACACTTGATGTGACTTTCTGGATTCCTTCCTCTTCTGGATGTTAGCCCCTCCAAATTCCCACTATCTTCATATGTTTCTGAAACCTTTAAACAATTAGTTTTTTTTTTTTTTTTTTAATTTTTGGCCAGGGTTTTTAGTTGTTCTGTGTCAGTGAACTGATCTGAGACCACTAAATCAACCATTGACAGAAGGGGACTTCCTATTCCTGTTTGATAATTTTCTCCTGCTCATACCCAGGGTGTAGTGTAGTGGTGCCATCTTGGCTTACTGCGACCTCCACCTACTGGGTTCAAGCGATTCTCCTGCCTCAGCCTCCTGAGTAACTGGGATTACAGGCGTGCATCACCACGTCTGGAAATTTTTGCATTTTTAGTAGAATCAGGTTTCACCATGTTGGCCAGGCTGGTCTCGAACTCCTGGCCCAAGTGATCTGCCAAAGTCTGGGATTACAGGTCTGCTTCTTTAATTTTCTGTTTGTCATTTTTTAGGGCGGGGACTTTTGTAGGGATAGCCTATCAGTTCAGTTTTCCTGTGGTGAGTAGGGTGGGGAGCTGTATTTGGGTGACGGTTGTATTTGTTAGCTAGCTGTATATAACAGAAGCTCTACCTCTGCCTCCCAGAACAGACTGTTATCTCTGGGTCTCCTAAAATAAGTCTTGACATAGGTAGTCCAGGGTTAGGAGGACACTTTCATAGTCATCAGGGAATCAGGTTCCTTCTGTCTTACATCCTCCCTAGTATGTGGCTTTACTCCCTGTGGTCACCTCAGGGTTCATAATAGCTGTTAGGGTTCCAGCCGTCACAGACTTCCTTGCAGTTTTCAAGGAAGATGAGGAAGGCCAAAGGGCAAAAGACTACTTTTCCTAGATAAGCCAAATCCGTAAAGGAGACTTCCTGGAAATCTCTTTCAACACTTCTGCTTACATGTCTTTAGTCGGAACTTATTCATAGGCCCTCACCTGACTGCAAGAGATCTTAGGAAATAAGTCTTTTATTCCAGATATCAATGTGCCCAGCTAAACTCAGGTTCGTGTTAGTAAGAAACATGGGAGAATGGATACTGGGAAGCAACTAGTAGCCTCTGCCATCGTAGATTTAAGAAACTTATATGAGGATTTCTTCGTGTGTCCTGGAACTTTACTTCCTAGTAACATTTATGAAAATAGAAGAGATATTTATATAAATCACAAATTTAAGGCACTATGTCCAAAGTTTTTTAAAAGTAGTTTTAGGCCGTGCATGGTGGCTCATGCCCATAATCCCAGCACTTTGGGAGGCTGGGACAGGCGGATCAACTGAGATCAGGAGTTTGAGACCAGCCTGGCCAACATGGTGAAACCCCGTCTCTACTAAAAATACAAACATTAGCTGGGTGTGGTTGCAAGCACCTGTAATCCCAGCTACTCGGGAGGCTGAGGAGAATTGCTTGAGGAGAATTGCTTGAACCGGGAGGCGGAGGTTGCAGTGAGCTGAGATTGCGCCATTGCACTCCAGCCTGAGGGACAAGAGCGAGGCTTCATCTCAAAAACAAAAAAGCAACAAAAAAGCAGTTTCACAATTTTTAAATAAACAGGACTCCTCTGAGTGCTTACAGAGTGGATAAGAGGTACGGAGGCGTGTATTGTGTTCCAATATTGGTTGTCGATCTGCTTTGTAACTTTTGGGAAAGTCACTTTTAAATGCCTATGTGAAGTCTCTTTATTGGTAGTAAACTAGTCCTATATAAGGAGTGTTTGATAAGCGTGAATAAGAGAACTTCTCTCTAGGGCTAAAGATGTTCTCTCAGTAAACCCATATTGTGAACACATCATTATGTTTTTGTAGGTCACTAGGTTATGTTTAGTGGTGAGTAGCTTTGTCAAATTATATAAAATATACTTCATACTAGACCGTTTAAGGTAAAGCAAATATTAACCATTATTATTGAAGTGCATTTCCGTGGGTAAAAATGCCTCGTTCTTCTCAACCATTAAATTGCTTAACAACACTTACCTCCCAGAATTATTGTAAGAATAAATTGTGACAGTATAAAAAATGTGAATGCTTAAAATTCTACTGTCTTGGCAATTTTCAAGCATACAACATATCATTATTAACTATAGTCACCATGATGTACAAGGGATCTCTTGAACTTGCTCCTCCTGTCTAGCTGAAATTTGGTATCCTTTGACCAACGTCTCTCTAATCCCCTCACCCTCCAGCTTCTGGTAACCCCCACCATTTTACTCTCTGCATATATGATAACAATAATTCTTATTTGTAGGTACTTCTATATGGCTATATAAAGAACCATAATGATGTCAAAGGGGGATTATCTTTGAAACGCTCTTTGTTTCTGTGATTAATCGGAAGTTTTGTCCATTTAAGTGATTCGCTACTCTGATAAAAATTCACACAATGTAACTGTACTAAATAACTTTGTTGAAAAAATATGGCTCCCATGGTACAGCTATTTTTTATAAATAAGTTAACCTGAAAGAGGCATGTTCAGAGCACTAGATGTCTCCAGTGTGACTGTGCTTCCCTTCAGGACCTTCCATTACTACCTGATAATACATTCGATACTACGGATATTCTAGCTCATTATCTTTAAAGAATACCAGAAGAAAAAAGTGCTATAAAAGTTTACTCTTGCTGGGGCATGGTGGCTCATGCCTGTAATCCCAGCACTTTGAGAGGCCAAAGTGGGCGGATCACCTAAGGTCAGCAGTTCAAGACCAGCCTGGTCAACATGGCAAAACCTGGTCTCTACTAAAAATACAAAAATTAGCTGGGTGTGGTGGCAGGCGCCTGTAATCCCAGCTACTCGGGAGCCTAAGGCAGGAGAATCTCTTGAACCCGGGAGGTAAAGGTTGCAGTGAGCCAAGATCATGCCACTGCACTACAGTCTGGGCAACAGAGCAAGACTCTGTCTCAAAAATAATAATAATAATAATACAAATAAAGTTTACTCTTAAAAAATGAGTTAACACTGGTCCTACTGGAACCATGTTCTAGCATTTTCAATGCCTTGGCCTTTCCTGCTGCTGTTTGTGTGGTGTGTAAATTCTGGGGTTGATATGAGTCTACAAACCAAAAGTACTTTTTCTGTCTCAGTTTCGTTGTCGTTAAAATGAGATATATCCAGTCGAAGTAAAATGATAGGATTGTAAGAATAGGATTGTTCCTCTGGATGTTTCCTCTATACTTGGTTTTCAACTCTACCTGAAAAGAATTTCAAAACTAAAAATATCATATGAATGAAAAGGGAGAGTCTACAATTTTGAAAGCATTTCAGGCCCTATGGAATCTGTAGGCATATTAACTTTATATAATCAGAGATGCAACGGAGAATTACTTAGCCTTGCAATATCAAGGTGATACAATTCTAATAGCACAATGGCATAAAAACATTATAAGATACCTGGAAAAATAATATACAGCATATAATAAGTAAAATTTATCTCAAAAGCATTTGTCCTTGGGTGATCAAACCCCAATATTTATAGAAAAGTTGCATATAAATATAGGAGTGAAAAAAGAAGAAGAAGACTACGTTTTCAAAGAACAGAGGAAATTTGAGGGGCAACTGTTTTTTTTTTTTTTTGAGACAAAGTCTTGCTGTGTCGCCAGGCTGGAGTGCAGTGGCGCAATCTTGGCTCACTGCAACATCCACCTCCCGGGTTCAAGCAGTTCTCCCGCTTCAGCTTCCTGAGTAGCTGGGACTACAGGTGAGGGCCACCATACCCAGCTAATTTTTGTATTTTTAGTAGAGATGGTGTTTCACCACATTGGCCAGATGGTCTTGGTGTCTTGACCTCGTGATCCGCCCACCTCAACCTCCCAAAGTGCTGGGATTACAGGCGTGGGTCACCACGCCTGGACTTGGGGGGCAAACTCTTTAAATAGAAAAGAAAGCAATATGACCCTAAAATCCAGTTAAAATGGAATGTTGTGCTAATGAAAGGAACAAATCAACAGAAGTTGTCCAGTCTCAAATCAGCCCTTTTTCAGGTTTTTGGAACACAGGTGACCCCATTGACTCTATTTCTAGTTAAAGGAATGTATATTCTTCCTGCCACCCAACAAACAAACAAAAATAGACAGAAGAAGAGAAGTTAAGAGAGGGAGGAAAATATACCAAAGTAAGAGGGGGAATAGAAGTGTATACCAAAAATCATAAAAGCTTACTTTCTTGAAGATTGGAGAAGAAACTCCCTTGTTCCATCAGCAAATTCTCCACTGGGGCTTTTATGATGCCCTTGGCCATGTACCAAGGGCGGGTAGCATTGCTGATGCATAGTGGTTTTTCAAAAGCAGACACAGTTTTACTCAGTGTCATGACTGTTTTTCAATTTTCTGCAGACAGTGCTTTCTTGCATCCATGGGGACTGACCACTCCCTCCACCCTGCCCCTGGCACATCACTTGGTGCCCTTGGGTTTTCTGAAATGAGCCATTGTAAGTTTATAGTTGCATACGGGAGTTTGGGGAGCAGAGTGGAGTGTTGCTTCCTTTCAAAGGGTAATTAATCGCGTGTGTATTAAAGGCCACTGCTTTTCCCGGCTTGCTCTTTGTTCTCCATCATCTGTTGTAGGTCACTTGTGCTTTCGGTTTTTAACACCCATGTTGCTGAAGTCATTTCTCCAATTCATGATCCATGAAACTGCTTCAGCAGTGAAAATGGCACCCCTCAGGTTCAAGTCAACATTTTTATATTTCCCTGTAGGTCAAGATCCAAGCTATGGAAGAAATCAGGATATGTCAATTTTCCAGAGCAGCCAAGTTTCCTAAAAATGTTCCTAGCCATGTAGTTATGTAGCCTCACTCTCAGTTAAACAAAGAAAATTAAAAAGCACACCAGAAAATACTTTTCTTGTTAAGAATACATGTTTATTGTAGAAAATAAAGTAAGGAAAAAGAAGAAAATATAGGGCAACCAGAATTCCTCTAGTTAGAGATAACTATTATTTATTTGAATGTGTGTGTGTATGTGTGTGTGTGTATATATATATACACATATATATATTCAGCTTTTTATGAACTGTATACACATATACTATTTCATAAACTTTTTTTTAACAGAATAGATTATATTCAGTTATCTTTGTTATCACCACAGCCTTTTTTTCTTGAAGACCTTCTGGAATAAGGCATTTGCTTTTCTATCTAGAGACCCTATCCTTTCAAAAGGTCCTTTCTCTGTCCCTGGAAAGAGCTATTCTGGCCACAATTACTGCCAAGAAAGGAGGCATTAGACAAGGCCTAAAATTAAGTGCACAACTGCTCTGTTTTGATGAATATTCTGTTTTGAGAGGAGTTAGAAGCATTCTAAGCTTCAGGATATTTGGTCATTACTCATTAGTCTGTCTGAGAAGTAGCAAACTTCAAAGATTAAGTATGAAGAGATGAATTGTGTAATGCTTAGATGTCAGTACCAGAGAAGGTATCTGAGCAAAGTCAGAATTTTACCCCTGTCTCCATGGGCCTAATGTGAAGAACAGTCATCTGTGTAAGTGGGTCTTGGTGTATATGGTACTGACGCCAGGTCACTGAGTCAGAAACTTAGGGCCGTAAGGAAAGTGAGATGCTCTACAGCCCAATGTTCTGGAATTTCTTCTGCAGTGGCCCCCAACAGCAGGTGGCAGCCTCGTCCATGATTGTATTCTTAAGTGACATGGTATTGCTCTTTCTGTTGGCAATCCATTTCACTGATGGATAGTTCTAGAGATCTGAAATATTGAGATTTAAGATCTAGCTCAGTATTATTTATATGAAGATAAATTCCGCTTTCCAACAACTCTCCTGTATGTGTCTAATGTCTGCTGTGTGGAACGCCACAGATTATGCTTCATACTTGTCTTCCTGAGTCTTTTTTATCCTAAATACCCTGAGTTTTTGAATGGTCGACATGCCAGCTGGCTTTCTCTGCATGTACTTCTTGTGTGTAAATTTCCTTCTCTGTGAGGTATTCATATTGAACATGACCTCCAAGTGTGTTTGGGTCTGTGCAGAAGACAATAGGATGTGATTTCTGGTGATTAAAACCTGGATTGTACATTACTGCAATCAGACCCTGAGACTGAATTAGCATTGTTTCATAGCATCTGAGTCGCTCTGTTGGAGGAAAGTGCGTGTGATGGGCATTTGTTTGCTTCACCACCAGATTCTCTACCTTCATCCCTCCTGCAAGGTTCCCTAGGAAGCTGACTTCTACTGAATGTACCACTCAGGTTCTCTGCTTTCTAGATTCCAGTTGAGTTTGGTCCATGGGAGGCCTTGGCAGAAATTGTGAAATTAAGAGCAAATAATTACTTAACCATTAGAAAAAAATAACAATGAATGTGTCCTTCTATCCGTGGCTTCAGTTTCTGTTGGGGAGCCTTGGTGCCAGTCCCTGGGGTCTTCACTATTTCTAATTAGTTCCCATTTTAGTCTGCTTTTTTTTGTGTGTGTGTGTGTGTGTGTGTGTGTGTGTGTGTGTTGTTATAAAGGAATACCAGAGACTGGATAATTTTAAAGAAGAGAGGTTTATTTGGTTCACAGTTCTGAAGGTGTGCAAGAAGCATGGTGCTACCATCTGCCTCTGGTGAGGGCTTTAGGCTGTTTCTATGCATGGCAGAAGGGGAAGGGAAGCTGGCATGTGCAGAGATCATGTTGTGAGAGAGGAAGGGGTTTGTGCCAGGCTCTTGTTAACAACCAGCTCTTGTGGAAATTCAGAGAGCTAGAACTAGGTGAGCACGGTGGCTCACGCCTGTAGTCCCAGCACTTTGGGAGGCCAAGGCGGGCGAATCACCTGAGGTGAGGAGTTTGAGACCAGCCTGACCAACATGGTGAAACCCCATCTCTACTAAAAATACAAAAATTAGCTGGGCATAGTGGTGGGCACCCGTAATCCCAGCTATTCAGGAGGCTGAGACAGGAGAATGGGTTGAATCTTGGAGGTGGAGGTTGCAGTGAGCCAAGATTGCACCATTGCACTCCAGTCTGGGCAACAAGAGCGAAACTCACTCAAAAAAAGAGAGAGAGAGAGAGCGAGAACTCACTCATCACCAAGGGTGGCACCAAGACATTCATGAGAGGTCCTCACTCATGCCCACAACACCTCCCCTTAGGCCCCGCCTCCAACAATGGGATCACATTTCAACATGAGTTTGGAATGGTCAAATACCCAAACCCTAGTAGTTCCCTTAACCCTGGTAAGAGACCCTTCATCAAACTATTTCTACTTAACCCTTTGAGAGTACAACAATTTTCTGCTAGGACCCTGACAGATAGATGGACCATAGAGACCACTAAAACGCTGAGGAAGTTTTCAAATGAATTGCACCCAACAGACCTCCTGATTCTGAATATATCAAACTTTTAGTTTTTATTTTATTTGTATTTTTAGATGGAGTCTCACGCTGTCGCCAAGGCTGGAGTGCAGTGGTACAATCTCAGCTCACTGCAACCTCCGCCTCCCAGGTTCAAGCGATTCTCCTGCCTCAGCCTCCTGAGTAGCTGGTACTACATATGCATGTCACCACACCTGGCTAATTTTTTATTTTTAGTAGAGACTGGATTTCACCATATTGGCCAGGCTGGTCTTGAACTCCTGACCTCATGATCTGCCCGCCTCGGCCTCCCAAAGTGCTGGGATGACAGGCATGAGCCACCGCGCCCGGCCAAACTGTTTTTTAAAACCCAAAATAGTACTTTGAACTTCTCCAGCAGGGAGTTATTCAAGTTGGTTGTCCGCCAGTTATTTCAGGTTGTTGAGATCATCTGGCTTTTGATTTTATTAATCATCTTAACCTTCCCTTCCAACAGTTTGCCAACTTTGTGCAAATTTTATTAATGTGTGATCGCTGTCTTTATCCATGGAGAGGCAGTATAGTATCATGAGGAAAAGTAGACTTTGGAGTAGGCAGAAATTAGGTTTGAATTACTAGCCACGAGGCTTTGGAAACATTACTTAAACCCTGTAAGCTTCAATTTCTTTATCTATAAGGTAGGTATAAAGCCTGAAAGTGTGGCCAGGCGCAGTGGCTCACGCCTGTAATCCCAGCACTTTGGGAGGCCGAGGTGGGCGGATCAGGAGGTCAGGAAATCGAGACCACGGTGAAACCCCGTCTCTACTGAAAATACAAAAAATTAGCTGGGCACAGTGGCGGCCGCCTGTAGTCCCAGCTCCTCAGGAGGCTGAGGCAGGAGAATGGCGTGAACCCGGGAGGCGGAGCTTTCTGTGAGCCAAGATCGGGCCACTGCACTCCAGCCTGGGCGACAGTGAGACTCCATCTCCAAAAAAAAAAAAAAAAAAAGATAAAGAACAAGAAAAAAAAGCCCGAAAGTTTTGGCATGAGTTTAGTGAAACTGTCTGTGAAGCCCTTACGGCCTGCTTGGTCCGTGTAGGCGTTTGATAAATGGTGGTTTTATATAGAGGAGAGAAATGCAAGCTATCTCAAAAAGAAATCAGGGAAATAAGAATGCCATCTGAAATCTGTCATATGAGAATGAGAGGAGCATAGACTGGTTTTGAGTGTGGGGTGAGGAGTGTAGGGGAGAGGAGGAGATAAGTGAATTGCCCCTCAGACTTCCAGGGGGGAGAAAAATGAGGTCACTGGGAACTGCAGTCATTTGAAAAGATAGCCATCAAGCATTTCTTTCAGAGCCCTGTTCATCTTTCAGTGGCTTTGCTTCTCCACATGCTTTTGCTCCTTAAATTATCTCTGCCTTCTCCCATCTCCTCTCCAACCATCTCTTCCCTTCCTTAATTCAGAAGTTTTCTCCCTCTTTTCAAGGCATAGTGCTTTGATTTATAAATTAGTTCTATGTTTCTGTTTTCTAATTTATTACTTTCTGCTTTCTTATTTATTTATGTTGAGATGGAGTGTCAGTCTGTTGCCCCACTTGGAGCGCAGTGGCATAATTTTGACTCACTGCAACCTCAGCCTCCTGGGTTCAAGAGATTCTCCTGCATCAGCCTCCCAAGTAGCTGGAATTACAGGTGTACACAACCATGCCTGGTTAGTTTTTGTATTTGTAGTAGAGACAAGATTTTACCAGGTTGGCCAGGCTGGTCTGGAACTCCTGACCTCAGGTGATCTGCCCTCGGCCTCCCAAACTGCTGGGATTACAGATGTGAGTCACTGTGCCTAGCCTGCTTTCATATTTATTAACACATTATTTCTGCTTTCCTAGGGATAGTTGTTCAACCTTTACTAGCTTTTTTGTTGTAAATACTTAGTATATTCATTTTTATTGTGCTATAGCTATTTCCCACATGTGATTTTTTTTTTTTTTTTTTTTTGGAGCCAGGATCTTACTCTGTTGCGAAGGCTGGAGTGCAGTGATATGATCATGGCTTGCTAAAGAATTGAACTCCTGAGGTCAGGTGATTCTCCCACCTTAGCCTTCCAGGTAGCTGGGATTACAGGGAAGTACCACTATACCTGGCTATTTAAAAAATTTTTTTTTCGTGGAGATGGAGTCTCCCTATGTGGTCCAGGCTGGTCTCGAACTCCTGGCCTCAAGTGATCCTCCCACCCTGACATCTCAAAATGCTGGGATTGCACATGTGTAATATTTTTATTGTCACTGTTTTCCACATATTCTGGAAATTTTGTTTGATCTTCTCCTCCTCTCCTCCTCCTCCTTCTTCTACTTCGTTTTCTTCTTCTTCTTCTTCTTCTTCTTCTTCCTCTTCTTCCTCTTCCTCTTCTTCTTCTTCCTCTTCTTCCTCTTCCTCTTCTTCTTCTTCCTCTTCTTCCTCTTCCTATTCTTCCTCCTCTTCCTCCTCCTCCTCTTCTTCCTCCTCTTCCCCTCCTCCTCTCCTCCTCCTCCTTCTTCTTCTTCCTCTTCTTCTTCTTCCTCTTCCTCCTCCTCCTCCTCCTCTTCTTCTTCTTCTGCTTCTGCTTCTGCTGCTTCTTCTTTCTCTTCTTTTTTTTGTTTTTGACAGAGTTTTGCTGTGTCACCTAGGCTGGAGTGCAGTGGTGCAATCTCGGCTCACTGCAACCTCCATCCTCTGGGTTCCAGGAATTCTCCTGCCTCAGCCTCCTGAGTAGCTGGGATTACAGGCATGCGCCACCAGGCCCAGCTAATTTTTGTATTTTTAGTAGAGACAGGGTGTCACCACGTTGGCAAGGCTGGTGTTGAACTCTTGACCTCAAGTGACCTGCCCACTTTGGCCTCCCAAAGTACTGAAGTTACAGGCGTGAGCCACTGTACCTGGCCTGGATTTCTTTTTGACATAGAATTATTTAAGAGAAAGCTTTTAAATTTCCATGCAGTAATTTCTAGTTTTGTTGTGTCATAATCAGAGAATATAATCTGTAGCATTTCTATGTTCTCTACTTTGCTTAGATTTTTTTGGGGTGGTGTGTGTAATATGTACTTAATTTTGTAAACATTTTATGGACATATAAATTTCAATGTTTACTTTTTCAGGCTATAGGCTTTGCTACATAATTTTTGTGTATTTTTTGGACCTCATATAGATTCTTTTATTACCTTTTTGCTGTGATATGAGATTAGAAGGGTAAATTAATGTCTCATTTACCATCATTTTTCTTTCTATAGCTCTTTTCATTTCCTGATCTTTTAGTTTTATGAAATCTTTATGTATAAAAATTGTGCGTACATATCTTTATGCATAATGTTTTGGATTTTACCCTTAATAATGAGCTTTTTTCTCTCACTTGAATTTGACCTGGCCTGGTGTTAACAGCCCAGGTGTAAAATTCCAGTGAGAAAGAAGTCTGATGAGGAGTCAGTAGGATCTTTGGGTTGCTGAGAGCTGCTCAGGACCACGGACAGCTCCCTGACCTCCAGGGAACATCCTGATTCAGTGTTTTGAGTATTGTGAAGCACAGTTAGAGCAGAAACATGGAGAATCACCTTAAAATGGTAAATTGGCTTCTGGTCTTGCATAAGACTTCATTGAGGCCTAATGGGCCCTGCAGGTCTACTGTCCAAAGTACAGAAGTCATTCCTAGTGTCTATTACTATCCCTTTAGGCAAGATTATTCTTTTGATAAGGGAGACTGCATTAAGCTATTTTGGCTGAGGCATATTTTTATAAATTCATCCAATTAGCTTCCCTCATTGTAGCTTTGGCTCACCAAACATTGTTCTGATTGTAATTTAGCATGCCATATAATTTCATCTGCAGGGAGAGTCTGTACTAGGCATGACAATGCTTACATATCAGCCCGTGTGACTGCAAGAGTCTCAGTATAATTTGATAACAAGGCACTCAGATTCCATACATTATTCTCTGTGTGCTTAGTGAGTGTGATGACATCACCTCCAGAAAGATTCATCCTTTCTCACATGTTGATAAACCAACTTTTGCATCTACAAGGTTGAGAGCCAGAAATTAAAACCTTATTAGTTCACTAAGGCATCCCTATGGTGGCAATCTTCCAACTAGCTCCATTCTGGGGCACTCTGACATCACTGTACACTTTCCAATAAAAGCAGGGAGTGTATGTGATTAAAGGGAGAACACTGTGGCACTCCTGCAAAATATCCCCTCCCAGTTCACATTGACTTATTAACCAACACTCATGATCATGTGAAACTCTAGAACTGGATCTGGGTACCTGGCAGGATGACATGGTGTGAGGCTCAAGCAGCGCTGTGGGAATTCAAACATCTGTTTATTTCCAAGAGAAAAAATTTAAAGCAAAATAATATCTTTTAACAAACGTTTATATTCGACAAAAAGAAAGCAAGCACTTAATTTACGAATTTGCTAGTTGCTCTTCTCAGCTGAGAATATCTGTATTGAAGATTAGTCATCATCCAGATTTAGCACAGAATAATCCCAAGGGTTAAATGACATTGTTCCTACAGTGGGCACCAGG